CTGACTTATTTGAATCTCTTCATTCTTAACTAAACAATAAAAATGTAAAATAACTTGTACGGTAGTCTCACACTGTCAATGTCAGACTTCTGTACGTTGTATAATGCTATCCAAACTTTATAAAGGCTCGGAAGTTCGCTGGAGACGCTATTAGTCTACAGTGCTAGTTACCATAAGCGAGTTAAGACTGGTTATTAGAGTAATTTGTACATCCATAGTGCCTCTCTGTCATGCTCCCTTGGCGATTAACCAATAACTTTCCATCGTCAGTTTTTCCGTCTAAATTAAACTAGGCTAGAATAACTGTGATATAGAAATAAGATACCTGTAATTTTAGATTTAGACCGATTGTAAACTTTTTTGAAAATAAAAACACCCGCATCCCAGGTCCCTGAGAAATATATATCAGGGGAGCGACAAGAGCGGCAGAAGCCGTTATAAACAAAATATGACGTGGGGGCCTTCAAAAAAATAGTAAACAGCTAAGGTAGCGTGTACCATAGATTGCATCATCAGTTCAGGTGGGACAAATAAATAAATGAAAACCCTTTTATTGCCATGAAAAAAATATACAGTGTTACACAAAATAAGAAAATTTTTATGAAAATTAGAAACCGATGACAAAAGGGAGTGGCTCAGCTTTACCGATACTGTTTGATATCCAGTGTCCAGCTGATTTTCAGCCGCCCTCCCTTCCCAAGATGTAAAAGGGAGAGTAGATAGTCGGAGGTATATACTTGTAATAAACTGAACTTAATAATGAGAATAGAACCGTGGTCAACTGCTTAACGAACATAAAAACGCAAGAATGCATAAATGAACTTAAACTTAAGTTAAACTGGTACAATATCATAGTACACATCTAGAGGAAGTATTACAGCGTTCCATCCGATCCGCTGTTAAGTTTGAATATCATAATACAATGTTCGCAACGACGGTTCACGGTCGACGGTCGGTTATGTAATAACCGTTAGAAGATACTGTATGCTAACTATTTAGTCGTGTAACAGTGCGTTTCTACTGCCGAAACACATACAAAAACATGATTTTTTAAATCATCGACTAATTTCCGTAACAAGAGAATTTAGAAGCATCTTCTTTAGTTTTTAATATTCGATTGTTTGCCATTCTAGTCTCTACAATGTAAGATGTTTTTTGACTCATATGACACTCTGAACGTAGTGGTGTTTCTATGTACTGAAGTAACTCAAAAACTACGGAGCCGAATTCAAAAATTCTTACATCGTGATAAAGCTACGTTATCAGCAAGTTTATAGGCAATGTGTTTTTTTGTTTTCAAAAGCTACTAATAAATGTGATGTTATCCTTACCGTTGGTGTGATGAATGGTATACGCGGTGGTTTGTAGCTGTAACCTTTGCTGGGGGGGAGATACTCGTTGCCGGCGCACGCCGCTATGCTGATCACAGAGGACGCCACTAGACACGACAGCCACATCTAGAAAAAGATTTAAAAAACCTAAGATACATATACTGTATTGAATAGTTTGAAACTAAACAAAAAACTTGAGTTCATGTCTTGATGTGACGGAGAGTCGATCATCGTGAAGCATTGTGAAAATAATCAGTGTAGTAAGTTGGATACAGCGCCATCTATTAAAATTTTAAGTACTAACATTAGCGTTGCTAGTATCACAAAAATGTAATAGATGGCGCTTTTCATTGTTAATGTTGTAAATGAGTTTTGTTGCGGACACATTAAAAAAAAGTAAAAATAGAATGTTGCATAGTTTTTTAGGAACCGAATTCGATTCGATATTATTTCTTACCACGGAGCCATCCGGTAGTGTATTTAAATTTTTATAAAACAGGATCCCGCGTCAGAATATAACAATAAATTTTTATTAATGCTTATGTTTGAGCTGTTGTTTTTTGTAAATAAAAAATCTGACCTGTCAACTAGTTTTGCGAGAAGTTTTTTTTTAAACAAAGTTATGCAGCATACGTTTGATGCGAATTCCATTTTTAAAAGTATTTATAATAAATTATTTTTCTCACGATCTTTGGCTATTAGGTTATTTTGATTTAATGAAAATGTTATTCTCTATTCTAGTTACAAATTTTAAAAGACATTTCTATGATCAAATAAACTAAAATAGATTATTCAAATACAACACTTTGAGAAATATAACTAGAGACCTTTAATTGCTTTTTCCTCCATCAAATTTCATCAGACATGTGACACTAATTGCAAAGAAATTGTACCAAAAATTCGTGTTTTACTCTACAAATCCTTTACGAAGTTTAGCATAACTAAGAAGCTTCTGTTTAGATGTGGCATAAACAATATTGAATTTAATACAGTAGCTTAGATGCGTGAAGCTGCAATGCAAATCGTAGGGGCAAGGTTGTGCCTTACCTCTCACTATTATATTTATTCGAGCGCAGATCTAATCGTTTTATATTGAAGGCATCTATTATAAAGCGTATACACTACATTGTTATACAGTATGTTAGGAATCTCAGCATATTTTTTAATATTTTTTTTACTGAAATACCATATAGTTACGACACGCTTTTGAGAACATATTTTCACGCCTTAAACGTGGGTAATTCTTGGAAAAAATCACTTAGCAAGGTACAAAAACTACAAACCAATAGCAGCAACGAAGCAAGTTATCATATTTACTTAAATCCGCCTATAGCAAAGGCATTTTGAGTATTTAAACTTTGACGTTTAAATTTAGAAGTTTTAGGAAATGTAGTTATTTGTAATATTCGTCAGTTTAAAACATTTGAATAACATAAAAAAATAAAAAATCTGTGTTAATGTTTGCGAGGCAACATTTCTAATTTACCTTATTTGGTCTGATTATAACAATAAATTGGGATTATTCAGAATAGTGGCTGAATGAGCTAGTTGTCTTTGCCTTTTTGGTCGGATTAAAAAAGGCTTGTTAGTTGTATTCTTACCTACATTACATTGTTTTTTTAAGGGAGTGATGACTGAGATGAAGTAGTAAACGTATATAGAGTTATGTGGAGGACAAAAACCTGTTGCGCCGACCCTACGGGTGTAGGATAAGAAGGAAGATGATAGCTATAACATTGTTTTACCTTTTAAATTACGTAGTACTATGAAATGTAACTAAAGCAATAACTAACATACGTCGTTTTAGTTTCAAATTCAAATGAAACTAACATTTGTAATGATTTAAATAGTGTTTTAAAAGATTGGACATAATGTATTTAATATATTTCTTCACAATAATTACGTAAAGCTGCGTGGTGAGACTCATTTGAATATCGTATTAACAATGGTTCTTTGAGCAGCGAAGCTCCCACGACTGTAAGAAATTAAATGATATTAATAGCTTAAAATTCGTCTTAATTAATTGCAAACTCCGATACAATACTTGTTTACTGAACACTGTTGAATATCTATCGCAGGATTCCCAGAGTTAGGGTCGTGGTACAGAGAAAGCGACGCTATAAGTAGCTATAAACTATATATCTTATTATAATAAAGCGTAAACACATGCTTCTTTGTTGCCTAAGATGTTATCAATTACAGCATATTTTTCAATAATCTTTTTTTAAAAGGCACTACACTTACGTCACGCTTTAGGCTATATATTTTCACGCCATTAAACTTAGGGGCTAAATATTTATAAAAACCTTAACATGGGAAAGAGACCATAAGTAGCTGCCAACATCAAGGAAGCAAGGTTGCCATGCTTTGTCATCATGTCGTCATTTTGACATTTGCAATTGAGAATTTTACAAATGTAAACAATAAAATAAAATTTTCATAATTTTCTGCGGATCAAGTCGCATGGGAACAGCCTAGTATTGTAATAAAAGTAAATTTTTTAAAGTATATTATTATTTAGTACTAGCTGTTGCCCGTGACATCGTCCACACAATATTAAGTTAAAAAGTAGCCAATAATATCCCCGTCTATGTCAGCAACCTTTCAGTGAAAGTCCAGTCGAAATCGGTCCAACTGTTTCGGAGATTACCCGGAACAAACGCGGCTTACGGACAGACAAACAGACAAAAATGTTGCGATTTTCGATCGAAAAAATAAAAAAAATGTCATTCCATCAAGTTTATATTCTAACACCAATAAATCCCACTTGTGGAACTCACTTCAAAATACTTGGAATCAATACCAATGTTTGTGACCTATGCTAGCTATGTTCGCTTCGCTGTGTCCACATACCTAACGGAGGCAGAAACAATAGTTCATTTCGCAACGTCCGTGCCTCAGTCGGAACGTTTTGCGAACAGATGCAATAACCCAAGGCAAGCGACTGCCGATTAAATATGACCCTTGTTTTAAACGCATTTCACATGCTATAAGGTTGATTTTACGATGGCGAACAATTTTGATAAATGGATTAAGAATGGAGTACAAAATGATTAATAGGTCGAGCCGATATAGACGGTCTATACGTGTCGAAGCCATACAGGTGCATACGACAGCATTGTTGACGCGTATAGACTTTTGACAGAGCTTTAGTTGTAGACAGTGAACGGTGTGTTGTCTCAGCGTAGATGTTGGGATTTAACTCGTCTTGAACTTATGTAGCTGACTGTACATATCTAAGATCTAATGTAATTTAATAAGTTCGCTAAGTGTACCATGTGAACTGATTCGAATCTTTATCTCATCAAGTTCCCTGTTTAGTTACCACACGTTTTCTTTATTTCAGGACGCAATCTTAGCAACGTGAGAAAAACTCGAGTGTTGTAAATATACATTTTTAATAACTTGTATAAACCCTTCCATCAAAAGATGCGTTATTTGATTGATTTATGAAAAAAATAACATGATTTTAGCAATTTAACGGATTAAAATGAATGTGAGCATTATTACTTGGAATGCAATAATTTTGTGTTTGTTTAAAGCATAATGTTAGGATAGTTCGATGACATATCTAAGTTAAAAAAGGTATAATAAAAAAAGTAATTTAAATGCCTTTATTAACAACATTTCATAAAACACCAATTACTAAACTATCGCACTACTGCGATTGTCAATTGTTTCCTAGCAATTCAACTGTTCAGTTGTGCGATAGTTTACTCAAAGGTGCACACGCTGTTAATAAATTATTCATGACCGATGATCATCGAATCAATTACATCGTTTTACGAAAGTCAATTTAGTAGCAAAAACTATTTTTAATCTGTTAAAATTACGCTTACAAAATCTATGTGAAAAAAGATCATTAGAGAGTTGTATACACCCCGTCACAAAGTTGCGACGTATGAAGTACGAACTATCATTAGCGTAGAGTCGAACTTGTGTTATCGTAGTGACATTTACGAGTAATTTTAGTAAATATTAAAGCAATTTGTGAACTTTACTAACGATAGTGCCCGGGTTAGATTAAACATTAAATTTGCATTTTCTACAGTCGTGGTCCCATACGTTAGGCGATCCTTACTGCGTAACCCGAGTTTCTTGTACCATAAGGTGGCAAAGGAGCAAGCTGCCACCTAAATCCGCTAAACTGGTGAAGCGACTGCTGCCAATAGACATTGGAAATTACGGATGTGTTGCCTTAATCGACGGAGGAGGAAACACTCTTAAAGATGATATTTCCCCTTCATTACGTCCCCTCCAGCGACAAAACCAAATTCCCTTCCTATCCTTTTCTAATAAGATAAAGGGTGGGAAGGAAAGAGGACTAAAATGGGCCACCAACACCACACTTATCAGAAGAAATCCAGAATTGCTTCCACTTCACGCCTGTCTTCTGTATTTGACCGAATTTTTATTAGTCTTTAGTCCGTATGCGGGGAACACCCCGCATGCTGTAACGCATTTAGCAAACAGCTAAAACTTACCTTAGATCATGTTATTAGATTGGCTTTCGCCCGCGATTCTTTCTGCGTGGAATTAAAATAACTTCGTAATTAGACTACAAGACTATGTTCTGCATTTGTGTCAAATTTAATCAAGATCTGTTAAGCCGTCCCGCAGATAACATTTAACAAACACCCATTTCAATTTTCGCATTTATTATTAATTAGATTTCTACATCTTATTAATATTATAAATGCGAAAGTTTAGATGGATAGATGGATAGATGGATGGATGGATGGATGGATGTTTGTTAGCGTTTGTAGCCTAAACTGCTGAACGGATCTCCATGAAATTTGGCACAGCTTTAGAGCATAGTCTGGAAGAACACATTGGCCACTTTTTATCCCGGGAATAGTTACGGTTCCCGTGGTATTCATTTAGTTTTTTAATGTTTACTCGATCATTCTGCAACGGTTCAACATATCTTATTGAAATTTGGCACAGATATAAAACAAAGCCTGGAGTACACATGAGATAAGGTTCATCCCCGAGAAATGTCCGGTTTCCGAGGGATACGTAGCTTTTTGTTGTTTATATAGTGCGTATGTTTTCTAATACCACGCGTACGAAGTCGCGGGCAACAGCTCGTTATAAATGAAATAATTTGCTTTAATCCACTTTAA